AAAGTACGGCTGGAACCGGAGAATCGGGAAAACACCACTTGGGGACCTGGTATCAAAATACTCCGGGTTAAAGCGGTTTTGAGCCGGAAAGCGACGGCTGGGGACAGGAGGCAGAGGTTGACTGTGATCACACAGATAAAATTCGTTTCTGAGGCGGGCTGAAAGTGGACTAAACGGCCCGTCTGTGAGGTAGGTGGGGCTGAGAGAGCTCTGACAGAAACTGCTCTTTTTTCAAGAACAGCTTCAACAGAACTATGGCTTGCCCACGGTCCTCCAGCAGGTGCAAGTGGAGGCGTGGGGAGACAAACGCGGTTCTTCCAGATTAGAGCCCACGCACTTCACCACCACACCAAACGGGGAGACTCTGCGGCAGGGGTTCCCAACCTTTCTGAGCCTGCGAGCACCTTTAGAATTCTGACACAGCACGGTGGGCACACCCACAAAATGGCCGCTGCTGCTTCCCTGTAGTTACACAATGAGGATCTTTGTGCTGTGGTGGCAGCTGCTGCTGCCACCAGGGAGCAATATTCTTGAAAATCTGCACAGAAGCCTCGCTAGGCAAAAGCTCCACCTGCTTTCTAAAGACACTTGGTGGATGCCGTGGCACCCGTGGGCACCACGTTGGGGGACGCCTGCTCTGCAGCAAGACAGGAAGGGGGGAGAGGAAGGTTCAGGGTCGATGAGAGAGGAGTCGAGCCGAAGGAGGGCAGCTGGGCGGTTTTGCTGGGAACATGATGCAAGAGTGGGAAGTGGCTTCACAGGGGACGAGGAGATTATCTGGAGATGAGTTGCCCTGTCTTGGGCCACTGATTGGGATTGGCTGGCTCCTTTTGTTCTTTCTGAAGGGGGGGAATCTGCTCCAGATATCGGGAGCAGCACAGCAGAAGGCATTGAGCCAGAAGTGAGAGACGGAGGTAGCAAAACGGGCAGACACTAGAAGTACCTTCTGTGGATAGACAGGATCCAAGTTGAAGAGCAGCCATCTTGGAGGAAGAGGGGGGCAGGCTGCGGATCACAGGACAGGGCGGCTGGCTGGCTGAGTTTAGGAAGCGAAGGAATCTCTGGGGGTTCTAATAGAGCTTAACTCAGTGCAGGGCTAAGTAGAAGGACCGCTTGAGTATCGTGGCATCCTTGAGAGGTGCGATTCCCCTTTTAGTATTCTGCTTAGGGCTCCAACTACGTCATCAGAACATCAGAAGAGCTGTCCTGGATCAGGCCATCTAGTCCAGCATGCTGTCTTACACAGGGGCCAACCAGTTCCTCTGGAGGGCCAACAACAGGGCATAGAGACTGAGGCCTTCCCCTGATAAGAACATCAAGAGCCCTGCTGGATCAGACCAGGGAGGGTCCATCTAGTCCAGCCTCCCGTCTCACACAGGGGCCAGCCAGTTCCTCTGGAGGGCCAACAGCAGGGCAGAGAGGCCGAGGCCTTCCCCTGAGAAGAACATCAGGAGAGCCCTACTGGGTCAGACCAGGGAGGGTCCTCTAGTCCAGCCTCCCATCTCACACAGTGGCCAGCCAGTTCCTCTGGAGGGCCAACAACAGGGCAGAGAGACTGAGGCCTTCCCCTGATAAGAACCTCAGAAGAGCCCTGCTGGGTCAGACCAGGGAGGGTCCCTCTAGTCCAGCCTCCCGTCTCACACAGTGGCCAGCCAGTTCCTCTAGAGGGCCAACAACAGGGCAGAGAGACTGAGGCCTTCCCCTGATGTTGCCTCCTGGTTTAGGATTCAGAGGATTAGTGTCTCTGAATGTGGCGTTTCCCCTCAGTCACTGTGGGTAGGAGCCACTGGTAGACTTACCCTCCATGAATCTATCTAATCTCCTTTCAAAGCTGTTTATTTCTCTGGCCATCACTACATCCTCTGTCAGCAAATTCCACATTTTGATCACTCTCTGTGTAAAGAAGTATTGCCTTTTGTCCGTCCTGAACCTACTGCCCCTCAGTTACATCGGATGCCCTCAAGTTCTAGTCTTTTGGGAGAGGGAGAAGAAGTTCTCTCTGTCCTCTCTCTCCCCCGTGCATAATTTTACAAACCTCTGTCATATTCCCCCCTTAGTCATGTCTTTTCTAAACTAAAAAGTACCGGGCTCTTCAGCCTTTCCTCATAGGGAAGGGGCTGCAACCCCCTAATCATCTTGTTTGCCCTCCAGATGTGCTTTCTTCAGCTCTGCGATGTCCTTTTGGAAATACAGTGGCCAGAACTGCACACAGTATTCCAAACGAGGCCGCACCATAGATCTATACGGGGGCATGACAACATCAGCCGTTTTATTCTCAGTCCCTAACACAGGTTTGCCTTTTCCACCGCTCCAGCACACCACGGGCTCCTGCTCTGATAATACTTCTATTATCCGATAAGCATAACATGAGACCTTTTTGTGACTGGGAGCATGGAGGGGCCCTAACTCAGGAAGGCTTCCTTGAGCCACCCACTAAACTAGTCTTTGCTGCGAGTTGTTCTTCTAATTGATCACTGTGAGGGTTTTATATACCTAATTAACTTGTTTTACAGGCTGCGTGGAGGTGTTGAGTGGCAATTACTTAGGACTGTTTACTCTGTGCCAAGACGTTCGATCCCGGGCCTATAAATTAGGGCAATTAAGGAAATGTGCATAAATGCACTTAATTTGCTCAAACTATTCTCATTGCCAGATCTGGGGATTTTTGCATCCAAGCCTCTTAAGTCTGCCTTCTGACGGAAGCAGAAATCTGATGCTCCAGGAGAATCATTACAAATCCCTGTAGGCTGTGCCGCAGCTTCCAAGAAGCTCAGATTTAGGGACTCATGGGAGAATGCTTTCCAGTGTTGTGGGATGGCGTTGCTGTGCTCCAAAAGTTGCTTTTTGCCCAAGACAATCAGAAGACTCCATCAGGGACTCCTTTAAAAACCGCCTAGAAATCAGCATGGTGGAAGTGACCTAGAGGAGCTCCCAGTAGTCTGGCCAACTGGAGGGGAAAGTCAGTATCTGAAGAGAGTCGTGTGGGAGCGGATGGCTTCCCAGAACACGGTCATATTGCAGTTGTTGTCTAGGGTCCTCTTGGGAAAGCAGTCGATAGGAGCTGTTGTCCTTTTTGACATCTGCCTTTGATGCCTTTGGTCGCATTTAACTCTCCCTGTAAGCTGTGGAGTCTTGTGAGCAAAAATTCTACTTTGTGAGCGAGCCATTTGGCCACTGCATAAATTAGTTTTCTCTGGAGCCCTCCTTCCTGAGCTAAGACAAAAACGTATGAGCCGGAGACTAAAAAACTGAGCTAGCTCACACTAGCTCAGCTTAGAGGGAACGCGTCAGTGCTTAGTTCTCATGGCCCTTTCTTACACGGCTGATCACCACTTTGGGGTCAGGAAGCAATTTTTCTCCAGGCCAGTTTGGCCAGGGACCCTGGAGGTTTGTTGTCATCTTCTGGGCAAGGAACAGCGGTCACTGGGGGTTGTGAGGGGGGCGCATTTGTGCATTTCCCACATTGTGCAGGGGGGCTGGACTAGACGACCCTGGGGGTCCCTTCCAAGTCCATGGTTCTGTATGGGGGGACACCTGGAGGTGACCCCTGTGAGCAGGGGAGGCTCTGTGGGAGCTTGGAGAGCAGCTCAGGAGTTCCATCTTCATAGTGCTCCTGGGGTTCTCCCAGACAACCTCTCCCTTCCCTGCTGTCAGACCCCCCCCCCGCCCCCGGTTCAGTTATACTCAACAACCCTCTCTTGGCAGTGATAAGTTTATTGAGGTATGTGCAAGATCCAGAAAGTCACTGTGTCAGAACTGAAGATTTTTGGCGGGTCCAGGCTTATTATAGTGAATTCAAAGAAAAGCCCCTTCCCCGAGCACATTTCACATTCACACCACGCCTAACGTTGCCATCAGTATTCCCTCTAAGCTGGGTTAGTGTGAGCCAGATCAGTTTTCTAGCCTCCGGCTCACACATTTCTGTCTCAGCTCAGGAAGGAGGGCTCCAGAGCAAACTAATGTATGCAGCAGCCCAATCCCTCGCTCACAACTTTAATGCCAGCAGCACACAAAGCACAATTTTTGCTCACGATACTCCACTGCTTAGAGGGAGCCTTGGGACCAGTGTTCCCTCTAAGCTGAGTCAGTGTGAGCTAGCTCACAGTTTTTGAGCCTCCGGCTCACACATTTTCTGTCCTAGCTCAGGAAGGATATGGCTCCAGAGCAAACTAATTTATGCAGTAGCCCAATCGCTCATTCACCACTTCAATGTCAGTCACTCACAAAGCAGAATTTTTGCTCACAAGGCTCCACAGCTTAGAGGGGAGCGTTGGTTGCCATCCCAACCAAGTGAAAGATACGCGCCTTGGTCTATCTGCAGTTGGTACCGAGAGCTTCTCAAGGACCCTTGGGAACGGGAAAGGAGGTTGGCTTGGAAAGTTATGTCTTCTAGAAGCGAAGGGTCTCACTCTCACACTCACCCCCTCCACTAAGGAATTCCCTCCCCCCAAATCACAGTGGCAACCAAAGCAAGCAAAGCATAGTGAGGTTTGACGCCTGCCCCCCCCCCCAACTCATCTGAGTGCATAAGGCCACCTGGAGGTGCAGTGTGCCTGGGCTGCTTTTAAGAGGAACCCAGTGGGTCCTTGCAGCACCCTGGTAATAGTTTGCCATTCAGTGATCACCCCCATGCTCTTGAGGAGGCTGGGGCTCACGTTGGGGGACGGGGGAGGGGCTTCTGGTGGACCTCCTGATGGCCCCTGGTATTTCTGGCCACTGTGTGACACAGAGTGTTGGACTGGATGGGCCTTTGGCCTGATCCAACATTGGCGTCTCTTATGTTCTTATGGGAGCTTGTTGTAGGCACTGGTCTCCTTTGGAGGGCTGGTTTGCTTAATCCAAGGCGGCTGTGAGTCCAGGACTGATTTGGTGGGCCAGATGAGTGATGCTGGCTTGCAAGGGCTTGCAAGGGCTGAAAACCTACCAATCCTACGACGGCTCATCGTTCCTCTTGCTGTGTGGTCTACTTTGCACTGAATATTTGGTGTTCTGCCTTGCAGATGGGCCTGAAGAAGAAAAAATGGAAACGGAGGCAGACGGGCCGCCGGCAGAAAAAGTGAAGGTCTGGTGACTTCGCATACGGTTTTTATTATGCATGTCAAGAATCTCCTGAATCTGAGTTGATACTTCGCTACTGTTCTTAATGGGGGAGGCTCTGGAGACATCTGGATGAAAACGAAGCCCTCTGGCGCGTTTACGCTTCACAAGGTCATATTGGAAAGATGTTTGTTTCCACCCGGGTAGAAGTTGGAGGCTCCCTTTCCCCCGCCTATTGCAGGGATACGTCATGGATAGCCATGGCAGGGGGTGACAGCATACCTCATTTATAACTGCCGTTGAGCTTCCAGATGTGGGGCAGCAGTGCAGTTCTTGCCAGTTTGGTGTTGTGGTTAAGTGCGCGGACTCTAATCTGGGAGAACTGGGTTTGATTCCCCACTCCTCCACTTGCACCTGGCTGGATGACCTTGGGCAAGCCATAACTCTGGCACAGCTGTTCTTGAAAAAGTGCAGTTTCTGTCAAGTGTTCTCTCAGCCCCACCTACCTCGCAGGGTGTCTGTTGCGGGGGGGGGGGAAGGGAAAGGAGTTTGTAAGCCGCTCTGAGACACTTTTGGGTAGTGAAGGGCGGGGTATAAATCCAATCTCCTCCTCCTCCTCCTCTTCTTTGGGCTACAGATGATGTGGCTGGGAAAAGGCAGGGTATGTGTGTGTGTGTGTGTGTGTGTGTGTGCCCCCCCCCCCAGAGCACTACAGTCGGCGACGCAACATCTGGTGACCCCAGGCCCCAAGGTATCCAGGCTTGCTGGTACTAGGGCCAAGGCCTTTTTGGTGGCAGCTCCTACCTGGTGGAATGAGCTCCCAGAAGAGATCAGGGCCCTGCGGGACCTTGCACAGTTCCACAGGGCCTGTAAGACGGAGCTCTTCCGCCAGGCTTTCGATTAGGAGCTGCCACCACCTCTACCACAAACAACGAGTTTGGTAACCGCGGGGTATTGGAATGGCCTGGCGACAAGCACACTGCGGCACTATGGCACATGGAGACCACTGAACTGAGATCTGTTTAAATATCCTCCTGATATCGTTTACTAAATGAAGAGCCAGTTTGGTGTAGTGGTTAAGTGTGCGGACTGTAATCTGGGAGAACCGGGTTTGATTCCCCCACTTCTCCACTTGCAGCTGCTGGGGTGACCTTGGGTCAGTCACAAGCTCTGGCACAGCTGTTCCTGAAAGAGCAGTTTGTGTCAGAGTTCTCTCAGCCCCACCCACCTCACAGGGTGTCTATTGTGGGGAGGGGAAGGGGAAAGGAGTTTGTAAGCCGCTTTGAGACTCCAACTGAAGGGCGGGATATAAATCCAATCTCTTCTTCTTCTTCTAAATGGAAGAGTCGGATTCAACTAGCTTTCGAGCAAGGGAAACCTTCACCTTTAAAACCTTTCTTGCCTTCTGCTTCCAGCAAGGAAACGCAGGCGTCACAGACTGCTCCGTCACAACTGCCCTGTCCTGCAGATTACAGGACACACCTAATAGCGAGGGACATGAGCCGCCGCCCCCCGCCCTGGAGTCTGCCTAAATAGGGGTGTGGTTGCCACCACTCGTTTCTTGCGTTTCTTGTCTTTGATGTCTCTCTGGGGTGACATGGAGGTCTCTGAAGGTTTGTTTCGCTTTCCTTCTCTCCCCACGCCTTCTAGGTTGAAAACAAAGGGGAGAATGAAATAGATGGAAACAAGGTGCTGGAAGGAGAAGAGGAGAGACATGCAGAGAAGGAGCAAGACGGTGACGTCCCTCTGGATCCTAAACCAGGTAGCGAGTGCGGCTTCACCCTCTTTTCAGAGCGTCGCCCCCGAAAGGCTCTCCGTTGGGCCAGGACTGTCTCCTCAATTTGGTTGTCTCGGGCTCATTTCCCTTCTTGGAGCTTGGCCTGCTTCAGGGGTACAGCCCTGGCTATTCAGGCTTCCTCTCGCAACCTGGCTCAGGCGCTGAAACTTGATCTGATAGCCTCTCATGCTTCACTGTGGTACTCTTTTCATCCTGGCTGTGTACTCCGGTTGATGGAAGCTGAGCTAACGCGGCCCGGGTTCATGCAAACTGAGCGTGTTCTTCTGTGTTGCTAAACCATTGGTGCAGCCCTAATCCAAAAGAACAGGCGCGCAGGGTGGCCTCTTGTCGTCTCCTGTGCTTCCGGGTTAAGGGACAACTTATTTGTCTCTCAGTTTTCTGCAGTCTGGGAGCTGCGGTGGCTCAAGTGGTTAAGACGCTGGACTGCAGGGTGTGGAAGGTCAGTAGTTCAGCAGTTCGAGACACGGGTGCCGCATGACGGAGTGAGCTCCTGTCTCTAGTTCCAACTCCTGCCAACCTAGCAGTTCGAAAGCAAGAAATTGCAAGTAGATAAATAGGGACCACTTTGGTGGGAAGGTAACAGCGTTCCATGCGCCTCGGTGTTTAGTCATGCCAGCCACATGACCACGGAAAAGTCTTCGGACAGCGCTGGCTCTTCGGCTTTGAAACGGAGATGAGCACCGCAACCCTAGAGTCGGATTTGACTGGCTTTCGAGCAAGGGAAACCTTTACCTTTCTGCAGTCTAGGTTTGTGAAGGAGCAGACTTGCAAGCCCTGTTCCCATGGATCCTGGGAGCTCGGGAAAAGCACGGGACCATCCCAGGCCTGTTCCCAGCAACCCCACCTGTTCCCCCCCCCTTACACACAAGGGGGTAAATCTCTCTCTGTCTCTCTCGGAACTGCCACCACCACCAAATCCCCTGCTAAACAGATGTGTATATTTAGCACTCTATCTGCACTGCCGTTTAGGAGCCCCACCTTAGTTACATATATGAACATATGCCTTTCACTGAATCAGACCATCAATCCATCACAGTCAGTCTTGTCTACTCAGACTGGCAGGGGCTCTCCAGGGCCTGAGGCGGAGGTCTTTCCCATCACCTCCTACCAGTCTGGTGTAGTGGTTAAGTGCGCGGACTCTAATCTGGGAGAACCGGGTTTCGTTCCCCACTCCTCCTCTTGCACCTGGCTGGATGGCCTTGGACAAGCCACAGTTCTGACAAGAGCTGTCCTTGAAAAAGAACAGTTTCTGTCAGAGCTCTCTCAGCCCCACCTACCTCACAGAGTGTCTGTTGTGGGGAGGGGTTTGTCAGCCGCTCTGAGACTTCTTTGGGTAGTGAAGGGCGGGGTATAAATCCAATTTCCTCCTCTTCTTCTTCTTGGTGGAGTGGTTAAGTGCGCGGACTCTAATCTGGAAGAACCGGGTTTGATTCCCCACTCCTCCACTTGCATCTGGCTGGATGACCTTGGGCAAGCCGTAGTCCTGTCAGAGCTGTTCTTGAAAAAGAGCAGTTTCTGTCAAGAGTTCTCTCAGCCCCACCTACCTCACAGGGTGTCTGTTGTGGGGAGGGGAAGGGGAAAAAGTTTGTAAGCTGCTCTGGGACTCCAAGTGAAAGGCAGGATATAAATCCAATCTCCTCCCCCTCCTCCTCCTCCTCCTCCTCCTCTTCTTCTTCTTCTTAGCCTCTAAGGTGCTGCTGGACTTTAATCTATCTGATAATCTCTTCAATTTTCCTTTGGCCAATCTTGTACCAGCCCTGCAGCCTCCTGGAGCATGTGTAGATTGTAGTCCTGTAACAAGAGGTTTCGCTCCCACATCCACTTAGTGAATCTGGGCTAAACAATTTTAAAAGGGCTTTGCCTATTCCAAAACATGTAGCGGCAGTGTGATCAAAGATTTGTCTGTGAAAGGCTGTTTATCAACCTTTAAACCCAATAATAGAAACAGGTAAGAGGGGGAGTTTGTTTCTTTGAACTGTAACCAGCAAAGGAAAACCTGTAGAGACCTCTGTCTTTTATTGAAAAAAACAAAAACAGTTCCCTTTATTATGCAAAACATTAAGACGTACAGGCACGTGAAAATTTAACCCTACAATGACTGTAAAAATGCCTACTAAAATTATCAAAGTTCCTAGCATTGCTTGATCATAATTATAATGAGTAACAGTTTAAAAGCAACCAGGTTTCAGGAGATTTGAATAATTAGTGTTGTATATGTAATGGGTTGCACTTTGGAGGAAGACACCACACTTAGCCGAGCAGACTGGTAAGGTATGTCCTATTGGATTTGGGGGGCTTTTAGTACGGAGGTAGAGGAATGAGAAGAAAGCAGGGCTATTTTGGGGCACGAACGCCCAGGAATGGAGTTCCGGCTGGCTCCCGAGTTGGCCACACCCAGCAGGAACTCATTTGCATAATAGGCCACACCCAACAGCAGGAACTCATTAGGACTGGCTACATGAGGGGTGTGTGGCCTAACATGCAAAGGAGTTCCTGCTATAAAAAAGCCCTGGGTTTTGACAACAAACAAGGTAAACAGAATAAGAAGCAAAAGGTGAGTGTGTCTGGATGACCACACTTCTGCGAACATGGGGTATGTGGCCTAATATGCTTATGAGCTGTGCTGTCAGGGGTGTGTCCTAATAAGCAAATGATTTTCTGCTGTTGGGTGTGGCCTATTATGCTAATGAGTTCCTGCTGGGCTTTTTCTACAAAAAAAAGCCCTGGAAGAAAGTGAAGTAGCGCATCCCTTGCTGAAAATACACTGCAGTTCTTACCACTAGTAACAAGACCAGGGAGACAGGTGAGAAATTCACGAGGACAGGGAAGGGAGAGCGTCACGAACAAAGGTGTCCTGCAAGTTGGCATGTAGAGACGCCTCCGGAAGCTACTAGGAAGGAGAGACGTTAAGAAAGCAAGTCTTTTATTTTCTCAATTGATGGGGGAGCACTTTCAACAGAAGCAGGGTAGTGTATTCCATTTTAGAGTCAAGGCAGAGCCGCTCACAAGGTGTTCATTTTCTCAGCCGTTCGAAAGTGGTTTTCTTTTGTTCCTCGCCCTCTTTTCTTGTGCCAGACGTCAAGTGCCTCCCAGCTCATGAGGTCTGTGTCACGGTGAGCGCGGTGGTACCAGGGGGATGTCTGAGGCTAACGAGGCACGTTTCTGTTTAGATGAGAGGGAAGCGGAAGAGAACAAGGAGAATCTCGATGTGTGCAAAGACAAGGACAGCGACGCTGGGAAGAAGAGGGCCGAGCACGAGATCTCCGAAGGGAACGTCGCGACGGCCGCAGCTGCTGCTCTGGCCTCGGCTGCCACCAAAGCCAAGGTTTGCCGTGTGCAGATTCCTTTCCCCCGCCTCTGGTTTCCGGTGCCGTTCAGGGAACGTCTGTCAAACAACCCCGTTGTCTCCAAGCACCTGGGTCTTGTCTCTCTCCCTCAGGCCTCAGAATGCACCGCTTGTGCTCCTCGGCTTCAGCTGGACGTCGTTAAATGAAATTTTGTTTTCCCGGTGACTGGCTTTGAGGCAGCCTTTGTAGGCTCACTCAAAGGCACACTGAGAAGGCCCCGTCCAGAAAGTGTGTCAGCTCCTTTCAGCGTGTGACGCGCTGCTGCTTTTGACGATTAAATCTCGGGAACCAGGCCAAGCATTCCTTCCTCACAGGGTCCATCCACATTCTCTTAAGAGGTGGCTTTTGCATTCTCGTGGAGCCGGTCGCTTGCACAACCTTGTGTGGAGCATCGTAGATCAGAGGGGGAGGCGTTTTCACGCCGTTTCCCTAACTCCTGCGCTTCACCGCTGGCGGTTTTCTCATTTCCCTCTCAAATGGTTCTGAAGCTAATTCCTAGACTTCTTTTGCCTCATTCGCCCTCTTTCTGATCTTTGCGTTGTACTCAGTGGGCCCAGGCCCGGCACAGGGGCAGTCGCCTCCCGGCTGGGCCACCAAGGTCCCAGCCATGTGAAGCATGTGAGTCTTCCCACGTTGTTGGATTCAGATTCAAGCACCTTGGAGATTGACAAGATGTTCAGGGTATAAATTTGACAGTCTGGGCTCCTTGTGTCAGATCCCTGTATCAACTGGACTCAGATCTGGCTGCTCTAGACCAATGTTCCCTCTAAGCTGTGGAGTCTTGGGAGCAAAAATTCTACTTTGTAAGCTCACTGGCATTAAAGTTGTGTGAGCAAGCGATTTGGCTACTGTATGAATGAGTTTGCTCTAGAGCCATCCTTCCTGAGCTAAGACAAAAATGTGTGAGGTGGAGGCTAAAAAACTGTGAGCTAGCTCACACTAACTCAGCTTAGAGGGAACACTGCTCTAGACCAACGCAGCTACTGACCAGCCAGTTGAGCCAGCATAGCGGCGTG